AAGTGTAATATTGCATGTGGGCTTAGTTGTTTGGAGGCTCGCAACTTTTGCAATTCCCCCCTTCTTCTTTTTTTTGATGGGGCTTTTGACGCAGACAGGAATCGAACACACGACTCTTACGAGAAAGCGATACGATTTTGTCATGTGACGATATCCCATAACTTTTATAATTCCTTGAATACCTTAAGATTAACTCTGTTTTCCTAAATATTTATCTATGTACGATGCGCACATCCTTGTCGATTATGTGCTTCAGATTTATGACATGTCGAATATCACATGCATAAAATGACAAGGTGTTGAATAGAAGACATAAAACGTTTGGAATTCATTCCCTAAAAGTACAATAAAAGAGATATTTTCATGAGATACCATCATTTAAAAAAACACTTTATCTCATCTTTATCTCTTTAGTTTCCTTTTTTTTCACTAACTCTTGTTTGGTCATAATCCAAATATCTCCTTTCTATTCATTTCTTGGTTTTAACCAAACTTCATCAATAAATAGTTAGAGAATTATATAGAGAACACTTAACTTTTCGGACATTGTCACACTAAAGTTAGGAGAAAGGCCATGGCCCAACACTCTAATTGACATCAACTCACAAATATATTCGAATAATTTAGGATATTGTCACATCAATCCTAGCTAGCTCTTTAAAATAAAGAAGATATTCATAATTTTATGTATATTTTTTTGGGAAATTGTGTCAAGACCCCAAAAGTAAAACTTTGATGTGTTGCAGCCTTTCATTTTTTTTCCATGTGGTTCAGCCCCAAAAAATATCACTCATGTGCTGCAGCCCTTTTTTCATATAATTATAATGTCAACTAAGCACAAAGAGAGAGAAACAAATATAAAATCCCAAAATACCCTCATGTCCTCCTCCCTCTTCGTTCTCTCCGGATCTATCATGTTAGGTCGAGTTTGATTCATGTTAAGTCTAATTTAATTTCTTTTAAGTCTAATTTAAATCAAGATAAGTCTAATTCAACTTGTTTTAGGTCTAGAAATAAATTGAATTAGAGTTAATATGAATCATGTTAAGTCTAATTTAACATGATTTAAGTCTAATTTTATGTTAAGTCCAATTTGATTCATATTAAGTCCAGTTTGATTCATGTTATGTCTAATTTAATAAATTTTAAGTCTAATTTAAATCATGTTATGTCTAATTTAACTTATTTTAAGTCTAATTTTATGTCAAGTTCAATTTTACTTCATGTTAAGGCCAATTTGATTCATGTTAAATCTAATTTTATTCCTTTTAAGTCTAATTTTAATCCAATTTAGTGTTGAGTCCATTTTAGTTTATGTTAAGTCTAGTTTGATTCATGTTAAGTCCAGTTTGGTTCGTGTTAAGTTTTGTTTACATCATTTTAAGTCTAATTTAAATCTTGTTAAGTCTAATTTAAATCATTTTAAGTCTAATTTAAATTGGATTTAATATGAAATTAGACTTAAAATAAAATAAAATAGACTTAACATGGATTATATGTTAAGTCCAATTCGGTTTATATTAATTCAAAATTTTATTCATGTTAAGTCTAATTTAATAACTTTTAAGTCTAATTTAAAACATGTTATGTCTAATTCAACTTATTTTAAGTCTAATTTCATGTCAAGTCCAATTTTACTTCATGTTAAGGCCAATTTAATTCATGTTAAATCTAATTTTATTCCTTTTAAGTCTAATTTTAATCCAATTTAGTGTTGAGTCCATTTTAGTCTATGTTAAGTCCAGTTTGATTCATGTTAAATCCAGTTTGGTTCGTGTTAAGTTTATTTTACATCATTTTAAGTCTAATTTAAATCGTTTTAAGTCTAATTAAAATCTTGTTAAGTCTAATTTAAATCATTTTAAGTTTATATTAAATTAAACTTAATATGAAATTAAACTTAAAATAAAATGAAATAGACTTAACATGGATTATATGTTAAGTCCAATTCGGTTCATGTTAAGTCCAATTCGGTTTATATTAAGTCAAAAATTTAAATCATCTTAGGTCTAAGTTAACTTGTTTTAAGCCTAAATTCATGTTAAATCCAATTTAGTTCAAGTTAAGTCTAATTTAATTCATTTTAAGTCTAATTTAAACAATGGTATGTCTAATTTAACTTATTTCAAGTCTAAAAATAAGTTGAATTAGACTTAACATGAATCACGTTCAATCTAATTAAACTTGTTTTAAGTCTAATTTCATATTAAGTCCAATTTGATTAATGTTAAGTCCATTTTGGTAAATGTTAAGTCTAATTTGGTTCATGCTAAGTCTAATTTACTTTCTTTTAAGTCTAATTTATATCATGTTATGTCTAATTCAACTTATTTTAAGTCTAAAAATAAGTTAAATCATACTTAACATGAATCATGTTAAGTCTATTTTAACTTATTTTAAGTCTAATTTCAATCATGTTAAATTCATTTTAAGTAAAATTTAAATCATGTTAAATCTAATTCAACTTTTTAAGTCTAATTTTATATTAAGTCTAATTAAATTAGACTTAAAACAAGTTGATTGAATTAGACATAACATAATTTAAATTAGACTTAACATGAAATTAGACTTAAAAAAAGTTGTATTAGACTTAACATGAATTAAATTAGACTTGAAACAAGTTGAATTAGACATAATATAATTTAAATTAGATTTAAAATGAATTAAATTAGACTTAAAGGTACCGATTGGCAAAGGGTTAAGTGAGGGGTTAAGGAGACTTAACCCCTTCTTAACCCGGCAAACATAAAAAATCTATACAATGGTTAAAATGAGTTAACCCTCCATAATTTGCCAAACATAAAAAATATAGAAGGGTTAAACTAACCCATCTAGAGGGATTAAAATGAGTTAACCCCTCAAAATGAGGGATTTACTAATAGTCCTATTTAGAATGATTAAGAGTTAACCCTTCTAATTATAAAGAAAATAGTCAAAATCATTGTTATTCCGAAACACTAAAACTAATTATAAGGACTAAAATAAAACTTATTTAACGGGTTAATAATTTAGTCCTTCAGATTATTGAATGAGCTAAGTACATTAATCATCTTTTTAACCCCTATTCCTTAACTCGTTGCCAAACGAGGCCAAAAGGAATTAAATTAGACTTTCATGTTAAGTCTAATTCAAATTGCTTTAAGACTTAACATGAAAGAATAGAGTAGATAATGTCATTTTGGGATTATTTATTTTTTATTCTCTCTCTATGCTTAGTTGGCAGATAATAATTGCTAAAGGACTACAGAACATAGATCTCCAATTTAAGGGCTAAAAACACATGGAAAAAAAAGTCAATGAGACTGCAACATGAAGTTTTTGCTTTTGAACCATTAACACAAATTTTCTTTATTTTTTCTCTTGTAATAAACAGAGATTTGTGAGCAGAGAGGTTGTCTCAAAAAAGAGAAGCAAAGCCTGGGATGGTACGGTATTTTAATTAGATCATCAAGATATCAACCTGCCCTTTAATAAATCCGAAAGTTGCTTGAGATGGACGCCTACGTCATTGGATCATCTGACGTTTGATGGGTAAGTGTGCGCTCCATAATCTTACACGTGTGCCATGCAAAGAAAAATCATTTATCTAAGGGCTTGGCCCCCTGCAGTACACAGGATGACGGCTAACATAAAAAAGCTTATAAAAAAAACAATAAATAAAGGATCATCTGACGTTTTCATCCCGTTCGTTTTCGATACGTTTGGTTTCCTTGCAGCTGATGCGGTGGAGTTCGAGAGTACAAAAATTCAAGAATAAGAATGTGACGACAGCAGGGTCTGCTGAGTATGTATTTCGTAGGTTGGGTTTTACAATTCAGAAAGGATTAGCGGCGCAGCTTGTTGTCCGCTTGTCATAATCACATGTGTAATAGTTTTTTCCCCTTTTTTAATAGTTCACTTTTCATAAATAAAAAAAATAAGCAAAAAAGGAAAGAAAAAAACAGCGCTTTGATACCCCACAAGCAAAAAAAGGGGGAAAAAAAACAAGGCTCAATAGCGCTTTGATACCCCCATACTTTTACTTTCCTTGTACACCCTCAATTGAAAAAAAAAACAAGGCATCTCAATGTGTATCTTCTGTAAGATAAACGTGAATATTTTCTCCCAAATATCCCCACATAAGTTTATGACAATCGCATGCTAACATTTAAACTTTTTGACCATTAATGTTTGTTCAATTTACCATTAATCCTATACAAATTCTATTTTAATATTAACTCCGACAACGTAAGTTTAAAAATAGAGTCGAGGGTAGATTTAATAGTAAAATTCGACAAACTAACGATCAAAAGCTTATAAAATCAGCATTTAACTGTCAAATATGAGATTATTCAGAAGGGAATTTTCATGATTTCATAAAGAAGACGAGCTCGTCAAGTTTAAATAGCTTAACATACACGAATGCTAATAAAACAACCGAAGGCATACAAGTGCAAAGTGACTCAAACCATAGGTTATTTAATCTCTTTTTAGCCCAAAAATCTAATAAAACACTGATTTATTCTATAGCAACTTACAACCACCAACTTTAAAATTATTGTTGTCCAACTTTAACTTCTAAAAGTGTGTCTATGAGAGCTTATTTCTTGGTCAATTAGATTTTTAAACTAGCTTTTTTTATCTATCTGTCTGGTAAACCATCAATAAGCTGACTTTTAAGTCCCACTTAGAAAAATTAGGATTTCACAGTTTTTGAAAAACTAGCTTATAAGTTCATATAAATAAGCTCGAATTGACCAAACAAATAACCATTCTATCTAAATAAGCTCCCTACAAATAAGCCCTCAAAAGCCCCTCCCTTTGTGAAATAATAAAATAAAACGCGGGCGGACCAAAACGGTAGTTGGGAATACGGGTCGGGCATGTTTAGCCCAATAATATGGCGCAAAAGCCTGAGCCCAGACCGTTTTCTTTAAAACGGTAAGACAATGGAAATGGGCTGGCCTTACGGCCCATTCAACAAATGTTTAGTTAAATCGATAAAACCCCAAATCCAAACCTACTGCTCCACTAGAAGCTTCAACATAAGCCCTAAACCGCCTAAATCTCCGCCTCTTTTCTTCTCAAATATTTCTAGGGTTAGGGTTTCGTACTTCCAACCGATTCCATCAAGAGAGATGGACTTCGACGAGTACGATTACTTGGAGAAAACAGTGGAGGACGTCGAGATCCCCAAGGAGAAGAGGAAGGACGACTACAGAAAGGACGAGAAGGGCTCCCGCCACCGGGAGAGGGACGCCGGAGAGAGCAGATCGGAGAGGAAGTCGTCGAGGTCGGGGGAAGAGAACGGCGATAGCAAGCGCGAGGACCGGGACCGATCCGATCGCAGCAGAGACAAGGATAGGGACGAGGGCAGAGACCGTCGGAGAGACCGCGAGCGCGAGCGGGAGAAGGATAGGGACCGAGAGCGCAGGAGTAGGGATAGGGATTATAAGGATAAGGATAAGGGGAGGGATAGAGAGAGGGATAGAGAGAAGGATAGGGAGAGGGAAACGGAGAGGGAGAGGGAGACGTCGAGGTCGAGGAGGAGCAGCAGTAGATCGAGGCATGAGGCCGAGAGGGAGATGGAGAGGGCGAGGAGCAGGGAGAGGGCGGTTCGAGAGAGGGAGCTGGAGCGCGAGATTAGGGAAAGGGAGAGCAGGTATAGTTCATCCCTTTGCATTGCTTGTTATAAATTTCAAAACTTGATTTTTGTGCGTGTAGGTTATCGATTTTAAGTAGGGGAATGGATGGCTAATGCTATTCCTCCTCCAGATTTTCTTGTCTTCACTACTAAAACTAGTTGATTTTTAGATGTACTTTTGTTATGGTCCATTTAGTCTCACATTAAGTAAATGTGGTGTCAATTGTGAGTTTAGAAGGCATGTGAGCTCCCTCCCTCTCAACAACTAGCTTTTACAGTCGAGTTCCCCTAGGTCTCTTACAAATGGTATGTGAGCCCACCCACCTTCCCAGTCGTAAGTGAGTGGCATTGCTTGTTTGCTTAGGACAAGGCGAGTGCAAAGCCGAACGGTGACATCAGGATTGAAGTGTTCGATCATGACTAGACTAGTGCGTAGTTAACCTGTATGGGCTCTGGTGTTGCGGAAGCCTGGTGGTATGTTAGGGTTTATTTAGTCCAGCCTTGACTAATTGGGGTTTCGATTGTGGGATTGTTGGGGTTCCCTTCCATTCTTCTAATTGCTACCTTATACTGTTCTCCTAGGCCCTTTACAGCATTTGTCCAAAAGCTAATTTTAGTTCATAAGCAATGGAGTTTACATAAGCAGAAGAATTGTAGCCTAGACTTTCTTGTTATCTTCATGTCTATATTTTTTTAAGAGTAAGGGAAACCCGGGAAGTTTTATGGTTCAAACTTGTTATGTTAGGGGAAATCATGCTTATTATTATATCTTTAAAGAAGATAAGCTTTGGAAGTATAAACTGCTGCCTTTAAGTAATTCATATTTGTATTGTTGAAGTGTTCTATGATTTACTTGAATTACTGAGTAGGTTTCTAATGTCTATAACTTTTCATATTCTTCCTTTTAGCTTATGCGCAGTTACAACATTAGCACAACTTTCTTTATATTACTGCTTCTAGTAACATGTATTCCTGTGCAGGAGATTCAAAGAGAAAAAAGAAGCTGAACCAGAAGCTGATCCAGAAAGGGACCAGAGGACTGTTTTTGCTTATCAGGTAAGATATTAAATTGTTTATCTTCTTCTTCTTTTTTTTCCTTTTATTATTAACAGGGTACAACCTTATCCATTTTTACTATACTTGCTTTTACATTTCTTTTCTTTATGATTACAGATGCCCTTGAAGGCTACTGAAAGAGATGTTTATGAGTTCTTCTCGAAAGCCGGAAAGGTTTGTGAAATAAATTTCCTGCTCTTCCTTTTTGACTCAGCATACAAGGTCTATATTCATTTTGAGTTCGTTAGGTTTAGCATTATGTTTTAACGTAAGACACTATCTAATAAAGTGTTCTTATATTTATATATATCATAGGATTAGTAGTTACTCTTTGGATTTCAACACGTTTAAAAACATCAATTTTCCTATTGAGACAAAGTTCTACCTTTAATGCAAACACAGGTATCTTGCCTTACATAGTACTACTGTTAGTATACTATACTTATCTCCCTTGTCCAGGTTTTCTTTTTGTTTGATCACTTGATATCTGTACAAATACTTAAAACTTTTAAGTAAGCAATTCACCTTTCCAATTTGCGTGCGCATTGAGATACATTTGCTTCTTATTGCAGTAAATGCTCCTCTGCCTTCAATGAGACCTATTATAGTGACTTTTTGTCTGACCCAACATTCTTTTATTGGGCGAGTGTAATAATGACTGGAAAAGTTGATTGCTAAATATCTAGGCTGCAATACATTGGTGGTTTTATCCGTTGTAAGCATGCTGTTGCATTTTTAAGCTGCAAGCTCTGTGCATTATGATTTCTTGAAGAAATTAAATTTCATGTGTTGAACTTTTATGCTTCCAGGTTAGAGATGTACGGTTGATCATGGATCGAAACTCAAGACGATCTAAAGGAGTTGGGTATGCTTTCTTGACTTCTTTATTTATCATGCATACATGATACAATTTTTGACATGTTGAACTGAGGTTGCTCAAACAGTGAAGTGAGAAAGAAATTTAACTCTATAATCTTAAGAGAATACTGTGATTGGTAGATTTCGTGATTGTGTTATGGCAAATAAGGTGATGGGGAAGTCACTTTATACCACATGTTTTGGGTGTCTTCATTTTTAATATATTTGACTTGATATGAGCTACTTTTGGAAAGCAATTGCTTCCACTTCAAATTGCATGATAGATCAACCAAAGTGGATCTAGACTGATGTAATCTGGGTGTGGGCACTGGGTTGGGGCGGCCCACAAGCCCGCTTGCTCGCCCTGGTCTCGAGCTTGGCTTGACCCGACTTGGTGTGGGACGGGCCCGACTTGGCCCGTTGCAGTAGGCCATGGGACCGTGCTGGGTTTGCCTAAGCCACAAGCGAGCTAACAACCCGCTCGGCTCACAAGGCCCATTGAGCGGGTTGGGCCTACATGTGAACAGGCTGGCTCAATTGTCCCGGTTCGTGGGCTTGCATTTGGCTGGTATTACTATCTTTTCTTCATAAAGTTTATAGTAATATCTTTTATTTTTATATTTTTTAACTAGGGGAACAATAATTTGCTATTCATTGATGTAGAACTTGTGCCTAACCGCATTAAATCTCTGTGTTTTTTATGGTTCTCTGTGTCATGGTATGCAAATATACAATTTTACTAAATAATTTTTTTCAATTTTTGTAATCATGTCATTGTTAGTTTGCTATTTATATATCGTTTTTAACCGTTAAAAAATACTGAGAAAAACCTATTTAAAACAATTTAAATACTAAAAAATAACAAAAAAATAATTAAGTGGGCCAGGTGGGCCTACCCGTGTCATGGCTCGTCCAGTTCTCGGGCCCGCGAGCATTCTGTGCTGAGCTGTAGGCCCAAGAACAAGTGGCAAAAGATGGCTCGTTCAACTCGCTGTGAGTCACGAGCTGGTTTGTCTTGCCACTAATCCCACATGAGCCAGCTCGCGGGACGAGCCAACATGGCCCGCTGCCCACCCCTTATCTACTTAGACTTACCAGAAACAAAAGTCAAAAGCAAGGATTGATGTGACAATTGACACCAATATGAGTCAAGTCATAATGTCATATCATATCGGATTCTTACATGTCATCCAATCTTAGGGGCTGTTTAGTTACTACCTCTTCTGTGGAAAAGGGTTGAAAAAGTATGAATGTGGGGTCCACATTCCCTTTTCTACTTTTAGTTGTTTGAATGCAACTTTGAAAAGGGAAGAGGTGACGTGTCAGAGTATTATTGGTTTGATTTGACCTCTATTTTAAGAAACCCATTTCAAAAAGAGGTGGAAACCATTTATTTGTAAGTTTCATGAAAATCTACTTTATTTTTTAAACCTTTTTTTAATAGGAAACCAACCAAACAGCCCCTTAGCCAAAACCAACTGGTATTTTGTGTCTCTTCAAAGCCACTCATCTTTGATGACTCATGGCTTGTTTCTGTGGCAAAGCTCATAGAAATCCTGTCATGTTGATCATGCTAACTTTGTCTCAGTTGAATTCCTATTTTCTGAGAGTTTTTCAACATTTATCAAGCTTGCTTATTCCATCATTTGATTGTATCACATGCAAGCAATGTTCTAGACTTAGCTGATGTGTACATGACCGATTCAATGCAGGCGCAGAGCGTGCAGTAAATATGCTTGCATTCTTTATAAATTTCTGCAATAACGTGTACAGTCTTAAAGGAAAAAAGCAAATTAATTGAGTGTATCACTGAGGGTAAATAGATACAGGTTGATTAAAAATCTTGTTTTGTCTTCATACTTCATACTTGCTGTAACAGTATTATTTTGGCCCTGGAAAGTAGTGGTAAAAGAGTCAAGTATTAAGTCTTGACTGTAATTTACTGCAAGTTTTGGCAGATAGATAATACTGGTCATGAGGTTCTGGTTATATGACCAATTATCAGCCCTCCAATTTCCACTACACCTTCAAAGGCTCTAGAAAAAAAATCTTGTTTTGTCTTCATACTTCATACTTGCTGTAACAGTATTATTTTGGCCCTGGAAAGTAGCGGTAAATGAGTCAAGATATTAAGTCTTGACTGTAATTTACTGCAAGTTTTGGCAGATAGATAATACTGATCATGAGGTTCTGGTTATATGACCAATTATCAGCCCTCCAATTTCCACTACACCTTCAAAGGCTCTAGAAAAAAGGTAGAATTATATGATTCTTGATAAAGGAATCTGACCTCCATTCACTCTCTTATAGAGAGTTTTCTCTTATTCTTGAGTGTTATCTTAAGGAATTGCTACCCTTGTATTCTGCTGATTTAGCTTCCACCACCAGCTGGAATAGCTAGATGTTTTAGCTAGAAATTTTTCCTTACCAGTATCTGAGCAGCTTATTTCTTCAATTGCCTTTAGAACTAGAAAGATTTTCTTGAAATTTTTAAAAATTTTAATTGAGCATATTTGGAATTTTTACAGGTATATTGAGTTTTATGATGCAATGTCAGTGCCGATGGCAATAGCTTTGAGTGGTCAACTTCTTTTAGGTCAACCTGTGATGGTCAAACCATCAGAAGCAGAAAAGAATCTTGTTCAATCTACCGCAACAGGAGGTACAGGTGTTACAGGAGCTGGAGCTGCTAGGAAAATTTATGTTGGCAATCTGCATTTCAACATTTCAGAAGATCAACTTCGTCAGGTTTGTCTTATAATCCATAAAGTTCAATGGTATTTAACTTGCATTTGGCCAATCAGTGTTTGCCAAGGCTGATCATGCTTTTAAAAGAGATTTGCATTCATTTTGTTTCATATATAACTAAAGTAGTTAAATGATTTTAAGAGCTGATAGGGAATGGTTTTTTACTTATAAGTGTATTTCCATCTTATGCAAAACTCACAGTTTAAAGCTTGCCATATCATAGCACATCCCTGCGTATAAGTTTAAAAACTATTCTACTGACTTGTCCACCGGAATAAACATGTCACAAGCTTGATGCACTGTGATTCTATTAAGTGTATTCATATTAACAGGGTAATTTTAGAGTTTACTTGCTATAGGTGTTGTTTACTTTTGTCGTGTAAATTTGACAGTGTATTCAACTACTGTCCGCTATTAACTCTTGAAGATTAATTTGCATGTGAATGACATGACCATTTAGTGCATTCTCTATGATCTGATTAAGTGTATTCACTTTGGGTAATTCTAAAGTTCATTTGTATTCTTGTTGTTTCCTTTTGTTGGGTAAGTTTGACGTTATAATCATATGTTGTCAATTATTAACTCTAGAACCTTAATTCACATATGATTGTCGTGAGAAACTGGATGCCATCTAGATTTCTTCATAAAGATTGTCTTTTCTGTTACTAAAACGTCATGTTTTCGGTGCTTATTTTGGTTCAAAGTTTGTTCGAAGTTACTAGACATATGGAACTATACTTCAATCTTCGTCTGAACATGTATTATATATAACATTTCCCCATTTATAGATGTTCTAGGCTGTTCAATCCCCTGTTTTCTTAGTAGACTGTAAGTCTGTAATTACTTGAAGCAACCATACATCGTTCCCCACAAGGGTTGCAAAGTTTTAAAAGACATGCTTGTTGAACCTGGAGGGAGCAGCCTTTTGGTTGTGTCTTCTAGGACTTCTGGCGGTGCTGTTAGGATCCCAGAGTGAAGAGGGGGAAAAATGATAGGTTGTCGTAACTGTTAAAATGTTTTTTTGCCTTAAATTTCTCAAAGTGGTTGGAAAAGGTAGGGAAGGAGGAACCGCGCGCATGTTGGGTGTGTGGTGGTGGTGGTGGTGGGGGGGGGGAGCCCTTGGACAAATAGTAAGTTTCCTGGAGGGAGCAGCCTTTTGGTTGTGTCTCCTAGGACTTCTGGCAGTGCTGTTAGGATCCTAGAGAGGAAGAGAAAAAAAATGATACGTTGTTGTAACTGTTAAAATGTTTTTTTGCCTTCAATTTCTGGAAGCGGTTGGAAAAGGGTGGGAGCGAGGAAACAGGGGTGGGTTTTTTTTTAGGGGGCGGGGGAGCCATTGACAAACTTGTAAGTTTCAACTGTAAATTTGAATCAATTATCTACTCCTTGAATGTTGTGATGATTTATTTATTTGCTGGCGTTCAGTCTGTTTGGTAGCAATTAGCATACCCAATAACTGCCATATGTCCTAGGATATGTATTGCATCACACTTGTCTCTAGTGAGAATAAAGGATTCTGCAGTATGTATTGCATGATTGTTTTTTATTTTTGAAGCATCGCTAATAAATTGAGAGCAGTTAATTATCTATTTCTTCTCCGTGCTGAAGAACATATGTATTTCATGGTTCATGTTCACACCATCACCAAGTTTTTTCCGCACTTCGTCTGTTTTCTGCCTTTACTACCTTTTATGGAAATCCTGCCATATTTCTTCAGATAATATTTCCTAGATACGAGGAATAAAAATTAATTAGTACTCCTTACTGAGGTCCACAACTTACGTTATTTAGCATTTTTCTCTATTTGTTTTAAGTGGAGAAACACGTAAATATTTTATGGTAATTGGTGGGTGACTTGGTCCTGAAAATGTGGACGGGTCAATCAGTCGAATGCACTTGCAAAGATTTGTGTGCATAAGTTCGTCACATGTTTGATGGTTGCATATGAGGGAGTTTAGAAGAAAAGGGCTTGTTTATCTGACCCCAAAAATTCGGGATAAAGACCATGTTGTTGTACCGAGAAAGGAGTTTGGATCTGGTATGTCAGCAACAAAATGCCTGGAATTCTATTAAGGTTGCTGCCTGTTAGCGGTTACATTCTTGGAGAGAAAATGTGTTGACAGCAGAAAGAAGGGGTGATAAAAGGTCAGATGACCCAACACTTAATTTGCCAAGTCCTTAATTTGTCAAGTCCTCGATGAGTATTATAATTATGGACCTATCTGGATCAGACCCATCAGCATGAGCTGGATAGCTAAACAAAGTAAGCACCACTAAAGAAATCATGAACGGTGGTTATGTTTATTAACTAATACATAATAGTTCTTCGCAGGTCATCTAACCCAAAAAAAGTATATATTCTTAAAAATAAATTGAAGACCTATCTGAATCAGAGCCATCATAATGAGTTAAAAGACTTCTCAAAGTAAACAAAACCAAATAAATTGTAAACAGTGATCAGTTGTTTAACTAGTAAAAACTCAAGTTCATCGTAGTCCTTCGAGTAAAAAGATCAGTACATATTGCCTTTATGCATTAGTTATGTAGTGTCTTGCAAGCTTCTAATTTTGTTCTTTCTCATAATATTATTAGTAAGAGAAAATAATCTCTCAAGTGTGCTGAATCAAGTACTATGAGTGAGTCTTTCGGAAATTCATTTTGTGAAGTTTAATATTCTTTTTTTCACATCAGTCTGGACTATGGAACTGCATATTCATTCGCAACATTGACTTCAAACGGAAGCTGGCCGTGTTTAATTGCAGGTTTTTCATGGCCATAAATTATTTTGGTAATTATCAGCAATTTACCCAACTGAGATCAATTTCCTTTTGTCTGTATCTACAATGTTTTCATCTAGCATTTGGACGTTAACTAAAACTCATGTTTGTCTGGCATAGGTCCTGATTGCTAGGGGCACTTTGTACTTTCACTATTTAAACTCTCCACCCAGGCTGATTGTTTTTATATTGCAGTTGGGTGGTGACACCCAAAGATACTCAGTGCACTACCAATGTTAGGTGATATCTAATCCTTTCTATCTGTAAAATATTATCCAGAAGACGTTATGTTTTTTAGATTTTGTTATTACTGGTGAAACATCCTTTTGTAACTGAATATCTTTTGTCCATAATTTGCAGATCCTGAGCTTATATCAAGTTTATAATTGCAATTGCGGTCCAGCAAATTTGCCTTTCCATTTTTTAGTGCATAGTCATACTTTCTCTTTAGACCTAGATTTTTATTCTGAACAAGATCTATTGAATATACAAGTACACATCTATAAGATTCCCCTCTCTCCTTTTCCTTTATCAGGTCTTTGAACCGTTTGGTCCTGTTGAACTTGTACAACTACCTCTGGATCTGGAGACAGGACAGTGCAAAGGTTATGGTTTTGTTCAAGTAAGTATAATTTCAATTTACCATTTGTTTCCTTAGCTTTTTATGTCTAATGTCATGTGTGTGTGTGTTTTGTTAGTTTGCCCAAATGGAACATGCGAAGGCAGCTCAAAGTTTGAATGGAAAGCTAGAGATAGCTGGGCGGGTCATTAAGGTAATGACTCTATTGTGGTCTTTGTGTTGCAGCTTGTGTGCTTGGTGATTACTTTTTGTGATATTCAGTTTACAAGATTAAATAAATGATTTTTGCATGACAGGTGTCAGCTGTCACAGATCATGTCGCTGTGCAGGAAACTGGAGCAAACACCGCTGATTTTGATGATGACGATGGTGGTGGTTTGGTGAGTTAGAAATGTGCTTTTCATCTAGTGGGGTCTTACATAAGATGGTATCAGTTGTGGGTTACATCTTTTTCATGGTCTGTAACCGTGCAAAGTGTTGTGTTACCGGGCTTTTTTCAATGAGAGATTGGTGGTCTGGTTTCTATGACATCTAGATATAATTGGCCCTGTATTACCTCCTTTACCGGTTTAATATCTCAGGCTGATAAGATTTTTTAATTTCAAATCTTCTCCTTATTTCATGGTTTTATTTTCACAGAAGTTGAGCCTGATCTTTTATTTGTTCATTCTAAACATAATTATCACAGAGCAAAAACTAAAACAAATGCATTTGGGTTTTTTGTTAACTTGTTTGGGTTTTTTGTTAACTTGTTTCTTATATGTGGGAAATTTGATTTTTCTTTGTTTCTAAATGCAGTCCTTGAATGCTCGGTCAAGAGCCATGCTTATGCAGAAACTTGATCGCACAGGAACAGCTTCAAGGTTGGTTTCAGCTTCCATAGAATTTCTTGAAATTTATGTACTTATGAAGGCTGATTTGTGCTTATTTTATGTAGTATTGCTGAGTCACTTGGAGTACCCTTGGTTAATGGGGTTGCCCAACCAAATCAGCAGGCATTACCCTTGCCGGCAAATGGGCAAGCTATACTACCTGTAGCTCCTGCATTAGTTACTAATCCGCATGCTTCCGTGCCAATTGGAGAACCTAGTGAATGCATTCAACTAAAGAATATGTTTGATCCGAGGACTGAGGTTGGTTCTTTCATTCTGTATTTTAGTAAGTTATTTTCAGTTTAGTTGCTTAGATTTGGGTTTTGTATGCAGACGGACCCGGATTTTGATTTGGATATCAGAGATGAAGTGCAAGATGAATGCTCCAAGTTTGGCCCAGTGAAGCATATTTATGTGGACAAGTAAGTTTTTTCTGCTTCTATTATCCTCAGTTACCGATGTGTGCTTGCAAAGGAACTTGTTGCTTCCTTCTTGTGATGCATGATTTCTTCTTCTATTATCCTTAGTTATCGACTTGTGATTGCAAGGGAACTTGTTGCTTCCTTCTTTATGAGTCTGATGGGTGATACCAAACACACATTTGGATTGCATCTTTTTCTGTCATTTTGTAGAACAAGATTAAAATGTTTGATATTGATGGGGATGCAGACATTGCCCTCATAGCCAGTCATTGTCAAGGTTTTCGGAAGTTAATTTCTGTTTATTTTGTTTTAAATGTATATAAGCAACAAAGAAATATTATATATGCTTTGTTAGCTTTAAGGTTGCAGATATTGAATTCAGAATCTTAGAGAATCTCCAGTGGCAGACCTTTGGGGTTTAGAGTTTTCGTATTTGAATTCAGTTTAAGACTCCTTTTTATAGTGATTTACAATTTACTTTTGTCTATTGCTCTCTTTTATAGACACAGTGATGGACATGTGTATCTACGATTTGAGACTGTGACAGCAGCAGCTAGCTGTCAGCATGCAATGCATATGAGATGGTTTGCTGGAAGGGCAATATGTGCCACCTTCATGGTATGCTTCTGGCTAGAAAACTCCTCTGTATTCCTGTAAATTGTATTTAGTATTTTGGCTGTAACTTTCACATCCGACCTCAGAGTGAGGTGATTTAAGATTTGTTGGAAAGCTGTTGAAGAGACCTACAACTTTTGTCTTTTGAGTTTTTCTAGATTTTAACTGTATTGGTGTGCAAAAATTATAAACTCTTAACTGGACGTTTTTTTTCCAGATTTCTTCTTCGTGCATGATTTGTGCATTTGCACTCATATTCACACATATACATTGATTTGATCTCAAATCAATTCCTAGCATACTCAAACATAAAAATATGTTATTTATCACCATATAACATATTTATTATTTTTTATCACTTACTATTCAAATTTTCGGGGTTTTACATTGGTGATTCCCTCTCTATACCTACACCGTGTGACCAGCATTCTTGATGCGCTTTGGACACTCCTCCGTAGAACCTGAGTACCTGACTATTTCGTACTATTATGCTATAAGTTCAATAAAATTTTTAGTATGTCGTTCTTTCCCCCTTCATGCTTCTCGTTGTTCAGGTTTATTCAATGATGTACAAATTTTTCATATTTATCCTTAACCGTGTCTTGTCTGCAGGTCTCACATATTCCATAACCATCTTGTTTAGGTAAATGAGAGTCATTGGTTCCATAATATGTGAACACGACCAAAACTTAAATGTCTTTTAATTCAACCTTTTATGCGAAAAAGAGTCAATGGTTCACTATTCATGATGTAAACGAGTCAGACTTTACTTTGCTTCCAAGTATGTTGTTGAGCGATTTGATAAAAAAAAAAAAGTATGTTGTTGAGCTGAATATTAAAGAGAGGAAACATAGCCTAATTGTGTTGGAACTTCTTGATTGGACACCACTTCGCGTGAAAACCTATCCTAGTAACAGTATGGTTTCAACCAACTACACAGCTTAATGTCATGCCGATAGGAACGAAGTTATAGTTGAATAATTTCTTTTTTCTGACTGTTCGCAGCAACCTTACGAGTACGAGGCCAAATTTGCGGGTGGAGCTTGAGGTGTTGCAGCTGTAAGCACGGAAATATTCTATTTCCTTCCAGGGCTTGTTTGGTTGCTTGATGTATTGTGGAGTTTGAAGCTTGTTAAGGAGGTTGAAATGGATCCTTTACCCTGTCGGTTTTGGAGCAGAAATTGTATTACTGTAAACTTCAACTTTTACTGTTTTGTTATTATTTCTTATTATCTGAAAAAGTTATTATCTCGTTTTCTTTGTTTACATTTCTTGTTTGTCGCTTCTCCAGTATTTAAAATATTGTTCGGGGGGATTGTTTATTTCGTCTTTATTATTATTATTATTATTATTATTATTTATTTTCTTGCTGTGGCACTTGCTGAAATTTTAGAGATCAAAATACTATAAATGTACAGCATGTGTCTAGGCAGAAAGGGAATTTTGCTTGTGAGGTGTGCGTACGCGGAGTGATAAATTGCGTTCTTGTTGGTATTAGGGTTTTAACTGAGTATTGTATTGTTTATGTCATCGAGAGTTTTACCTCGGATGATTTCGAAGAAAATTAGTCAATTTATGCCCTCAATGGCTTACTGATTTTTCCTTCGCAATTTATAATTGATGTGACGGGATTATATGGGATTTTAGAGTCAAAAGTTTCGCGAAATATATAGATGGGCGACATTAAATTGGGCGACATTAAATACTTTAAATAATAATACGTAATAGGTGAAACAAACTGGTCCTCTATTTTTGTTATTTTCGAGTTCTCTTGTTACTGAATTTCTTTATCAAATGCGTCCATTAAACATTATTTACAACAAGTATTATACCCATGCTTATTACATGGATTGTTTCTTAATTCTTTTGATTTATATATGTTGGTTCATACACATTCGAATGTGTTAAGCGACCTTAGTGTAATAAAAGGCTATAAATTACAAATCATCTATTAATTAATACATTAAATATTTATGAAGAGAAGAGAATGAAAATCTATTTGTTATGAGAAAAAGAGATTAGTTATTTTCTTAATCAGTTAAAGTAGATAATTTAAATGCTAGGATTTTTCTTAGAAAAATTAAAATTTAAAGTTTGAAATTAAAATTTAAATAGCTTAACTATCAATCACTATTTTGTAAATATAAATAAAAATTTGTGTTTTTTAAAACCTAAAGAACATGATATGTGGCCATATTTAGTATCATTATAAAGAGAGATAACTAGAAAAAAGAACATAGGCATCGTTTAGTCCTATATGAGAAAGGGGTTTAGATTTCAATGTCCCGGGATTTACAATCAAGTCACATGTTTAATTCGCTAGAGATTGGGTCATGAATGAGATTAGTACTTTCTTCTAATCCCTAAAATAGATAGTAGGAAGTTTCACCGTCCTCTAATATTAACAATACGGGACTTCCCATGACCATTATACCCTCCCCCTAATGGCTTCTTCACACCATTGATATAATAGTATAATATAATCTATTAAATTAGGAGGCTATTTGTAATTTTAGAAATATTTGTAGTAATGTTCTAGACGGCTCTTTGTGGCCTTTGAAACTGTTAAGGGGTTGCTTGTAGTTTTCCGAAGTTTTCAGAGTGTTGTAATTTTCAAAACTTTCAAGGGAATGGTTACAACTGTTTTATAAAATTTTCTTAGGGTTCTTTGTAATTTTAAAAACTTTTAGGGGCTCTTTGTGAATGATTTGAAAGGTGTTTTTATTTTTTGAAACTTTCATGGGGTTTCTTGTAATATTTTTATGTAGTTGGCTGTAATATTTTAAAATTTTCAGCCAGGTGTTTGTTATTTTCACAACTTTCATGAGCTAGTTGTAAAATGGTATTTGTGTCACATTATAATTGCTAACACTATTTACAGAAAAAGCTCTTTTCATTTCAACATTTAAATATTTGAATGCAACGAAAACTTTTTTTTTAATTTATAAACTATATTAACTTTATATTTGTATCTATCAAATAAAATTTAAATTGTTTTTTATTTTACTACTTATATAAAATAATATACACACACACACAGTGACACACAATGTACAAAGATAAAAACATCTTAAATACAAAGATACACGTGGTTCAGACTTCGATGGAAGACCTACGTCCACGGGAAGTTAATAACTTTCCTTTAGTTTAAATTTAAATTGTAACTATAAGATGAAAAAAAGGAAAAAGTGTTAACCATTAATATTTAAGGAGTCGAATTCCATCAAGTTATATTAGTCAAATTCTTCAAGGAAAAGTCTTGTTTGCTGTCCTTGTGACCATTCTTATGCATCGGGCCAGTCCTTTAAGCACACACACATCTCCATGTGTGCTGCTGTCAGTTATGTTCTCCATTCGAAAAGGATTCTCCCGCATGCTGAAAAGGCACTTTCTGATGCGATAGTAGAAGCATGGGGAGTTAATATATCTCTTGACCCCGTAGATAAAACAGAGTAGTTGTGAGTCGAGCCGGGTCAAGTTAGGTTGGGTCGATTTGTCTCGCCTCGAGTTTGGAGTTGGACCTAGCCCGGCCCGTGATCCACGTATGTCACGAGCCGGGTCAGACCCAGCCCATTACAGGTCGGACCGGGTCTGGTCTTGATCCATGCTGGGGTGGGCTAGGTTAGCCCGCTGGTCAACCCGGCCCGCGGCCAACCCTACCCGCCAAAGAAGAAGTTTAGGAAAATTTTAGATCTAAAATAGAAATCAATCCAATATAGTTTATTCAAAACTGGTTTACAATTTTTTATTCCCAATTCCTTGTAGGCGTGTAAATAAATGACTAAGAGGAACCCATCTACTCTGCATTTTGGGGAACTCATTAAATTTGGGTTTTTCCAGTCTTAAAATTATTTGGGGGGGAAATCATCTTAAGAAAGCTTTATAACAAACTATCACCGTTGGATATAAATTGTAGTTTTCACTCGTTATCTATATCTATAGATAAATAAGTCATGAGGTCATATATGTATTATTTTTGTGGTGCTAGTCACGAGGCCACTTTAAGATGCGAAATGTAATCTTTCTGCTGTGGCTAAATTGCAATTTTGTGCTCGAGTTAGGGAGTTAATTAGAAAATCTACTGGTAAATGGTGTTTTTCTTTTTTTTTCATGACGATCGTCCCTATAAAGAGAATCACAATTTTCTTTTTCCTCTCTCAAAAGTTTTAACCGTTCGTTTAATCATGCACACAAAATGCAAGCGTATTACAACTCATGAGGAAAAACCTACATGCTTGCGTATTATACTACCAAATACCACAAGACTTGTACTACATTAGCATTATCTACACATAATCACCATGCAACCGTGAAAATTACAATTGAGACCCCGAGATGTATAATCTCAACTGACAGTAAAAAACTTATCACTGCTCTTACACACCAATTATACCTTTTCTAGACAATAGTGTGCATTATGCAAAAAAATATGGCTAAAAATAAAAATATAGCCATAAAATTAAAACCTTTGTAATAATCTTCGAAAAGTATAACGAATCACCGTCTCCTCCGAGCAGTGGGTGGGAGCTTCTCTGAAGGCCCACACGGGAGTTTCTGACCGGCCTCCCTCTCTATCCTCTTCTTCAGCTCTCTCAGTATGCGAATCTGAGCTAACTTCTCGGGTGACAATTTCTCCCAATATATTCCTGCATGACCAAAATTATAAGCAAAAACAGCACCAAGTTTGTACATGAACATCGAATAAGGATGACCTTGGGGTTTCGGGATTGTCGTGTTGGTGAAGATGATTTGAGTTGGAGTGCAGATGATATCGACTGGAACATCATGAACTAAGAGCTTTTCAACTGGGATGTCGTCTACCAACTGCTTGTCGTGGACTGGGACATGAAAATATAAAAACCAGTAAGAGAAATTACATGAACATGATATACAATGACGAAGAATTGAGAATATAATGCTACGTACCCGATGTGACCACCAATGTATCGTCGTCTATAGCTCCCATGTAACGCAACATTCCATACTCAAGTTCAGCAAAGCCCTACAGCAACTGAGTCTCTTATTATCGTATGAATTGAAGAACACAACAGAGGCCAGAAAGCAACAATATATCAACTGAAATAGCGTGATTAAAACATATAAGCATTCATGATACTACAGGCAAGATAATTAGCTGCTGATCTGAATTCATAGGAAAATTAACAACACAATGCTGGACAGGTAAACATGATAAACAAATTCCCATTCTTTAAATAATCTTAGTATCTGCAAAATGCCGCAGCTAGATTTTACTCATGGATAATCCTCTAAAACAAAACAAAAGAAAAAACAAAATCACGTTTATCTCCAAAAGTCCTCCAAAATTTAGTCGAATGCCTAAATTGTACCTTCTATTTTCTTTTAACTCTACCGTCTACTTTCCCTTAACTGGTTGAATCAATCTCCCTAGTTCCATGTTGTTTCCTCCTACTCAATCTGAATCCCTCTCCCCTCTTTACTTTTCAAGTGATTATCTTCTTAAGCAATTTGAAAGTAATTCTATGTTTGAATTTTCCTCTTCTAGGCTCGTCACACATGCTACTCTAGCCAAACTTTGGCAAAGTGAAAACTAATTCACCTTACAAAACTGGGCCTCATGTCGAAATGTATCTAAACTTTCTTAATTCACCGCAGTCTAATTCAGATAAGTGTCAAACAATTTGTTAATAGTTGAGATGCAAAGGGAATGATGTATCAATAGTAATACCTCGCCCTTCCCAAGTCTGGATCCTGTTGTTGGATCAACTGCAACTGATCCAATAACAATCAAATCTACTTTGAATTTTTCATCCAAACCGATTGGTCTACCATATTTCGCAACTCCAACAGAAGTGCATGCCTCCTTTATTGCACCAGGAGGCAACATTTCAGATTCCAACACAGAAAAGAATCCAGTCCTAAGACGTGGTTGAGGAGTCAACAACTTTTTCCCACCTGAAGGAAAAAATGGAAGTTGTCCTAAAATTAGAAAAGGTTGAAGTCAGCAGATGAGATAATAAACAAGTATTCACAAAGCAACATATGCAGTCATCATAGTCTTAATTAAATTGCAAAAATGGAACTTGTCCTGAAATTTGAAAAGGAAAAAATGGATTTGGCTATTATGCATCACGAGGCTATACTGAAGAGTTGACAAAATTTGATGGCTGCTGTCGATCTGATTACAGTAGACTACTGGTTTAAGGTCTTGCAAACAAGACCAGCTCTCTGAAATTCTCGTTGATTTGATTAGGAAAGAATCTAGAGAAGGCAAACCATCACATACGAGGAATTGAATCCACTCTAAGTAATAGATATTCCAACAGACCATCTGTAAAAAATCTCTGAAAACCATCATACATCTGTTAAAATAATTTAATTCCTTAGAAGTTTCTCTCCCGCATATCCATAGACAGACCTTATGACAACTAAACTTAGTTGCTGCTCTCACCAAATGCTGCATTCACCAATTTCTCTATATCAGTTTCACCTAAGTCAACTACCTAACTGTTATTTAAAAAAAAAAATCTAATCTCAACTACATTATTGCACATTGCACAATCTAAAAGCAAACACCAGCCGAATATTCATTCCCTCTTGATTGTGCACCTAGCTTTGTTATGACAATTATGAGATGATGAAATGCAAACCGAACAATGTTTCATCTAGTTCCTGCATAAATTTCTGTTCAAATAATCCCACCAAAAGTTATGAACCCCAATAAAATTGTTTTGCCAGAAGCAAGTTGTTCACTTCCACTGACATCACTATGAGACAATCATGCTTTCAATAAATTTTCAGAAAACAGTTTGCTCATCTGCATGCAACTTCTCCAGCTCAATACCTACTTAACCAAAAGATTTGGCCGAAACAAAACGAAAATCGATCCGACCTGTCAGCGTCAGGAATCTGACTTGCTTCTGGGGAGAGTCAGGGTTGACCTTCACGCACTGCGCCTTTTTGAACGCCTCTAATCCCCCCAACTGCAACACATAAAAAAAAGGACTCAAAACTAAAGGCTAGCTATATCACTCGCATCGCATTGCAAATTCATTAACCGCTGTTAGTTTTTTCGGTATAACCGGCGATTATTTTTCAGCCCCGCGGTGAAAACTGCCCCCTTTTTCACTTTCGTCCTGGCCTTTCTCAATAGAGTTAAAGAGTACAGACTCTATAATATGAGCATGTGAAACTTTCGAGGTGTTTAAGCGCCAATTGGATCAAAATCAACGCTTGCCAAAAATAATAACAACACATTAGAAGAAGTAAAGCATCGAACCAACGGACCAAGTCAGCAGCTTTAGCGGCGCCGACGAAGTTGGGGATCCGATGGCGAACAGGCCTAGGGTTCTGAGCTATGTTCTCCCTCTCCATCAGATCCCAGATCCTCTTCCGAACCCTCCACTTCCAAGCCTTGGGATCGCCGGCGACCTCCTCCTCCGAAGCGGTGGCCACCATGGAATCTCGAGCCTCGGCGTCGAGGCGGAGGCTGTTGACCTTGAATGCCGCAGAATCAATGGAGGAGGAGGAGGAGGTTGAGAAAGGAAGCTCGTTTTCTCTTTGATGATCTCTTGCTGTTTGTGGAATTTGGGAGCTTTATAGTTCGTTTCATAAATCTCAGCTTTGTGAAGAATTTAGAGAGAGGAGAGAGAGAGAGAGAGAGATCTGTCACGCTCATGAACACCTAATATATATATGAGCGGTGTTAGAGGCACACCACGAGGGACTTCTCCGGTCACACTCCGTTCTGCTACAGTACAGGGGCCCTATAGGAGATTTTTGCGGTCACACTCCCCCTGCTACAGTATAGGGCCCACAGGAGATTCCCACATGCTACAGTATAGAGGGGCCCACAGGAGATTTTTTTTAAAATCTCCTGTGGGCCCCTGCACTGTAGCACTATTGCTCCATGCACTGTTCATGAACAGTGCATGGAGCAATATGGAGGGGACAGCTCACCTGTCCCCTCCCCTGTCCCATATTCCTGGGTCCTTTTGGAATTTTCCTCACCCCAGCTCAATTTTAACTCCCTTTGGGAGTCCCGCCAGCGGCCATTGATCCATTCCCCACGGTCCTCAATTTTTTGCAAGGAGCTACCCTTACTACCATGGGCTCAACTTCACAGTGTGTGCGAACAGGCAGTGGACCACAAGGACGCGACCTGGTGAGCATACAACGGGCTGTGCTAAGCCTGAGTGACCAGTAAAACCCCGGGATCCTGTCCCCACCCTTAAACCCACAGGAGCCAGGTGAATGCGGTAGCGGGGATTCGAACCCAGTCGCAACAGGCAATCTCTTCCTCCATGGGGAGCTGCTAACCGGTTGCCCCACCCGCCGGTGATCACCCTATTATATATTATTATTATATCCTCAATTGATTTTTACAACATTTATTTATTTATACGCCCCATGTTAATATTTTCTATCGTGTGAACGTGCAAATTTCGGTTCAGAACGTTCCAACGTTACACTCCTATGCTAATTTTTGAAATTTTTAACCGTTGAAAATTTGTTGAGTTTTCTGTTAGGGGGCTGTTTGGTTGTCTTTTTTAGAGGCTGGATCCCTGCCAAAACTGACAAAAACTGTCAGTTTTGACAGGAAATCACCAAAAAATGCATCTAAAAAAGGCGTTTTTGCAAGATTCCCTGCCAAAACTGACAGTTTTTGTCAGTTTTGACAGGGATTCAGCCTCTAAAAGAGGCAACTGTTTGTTTGTTAAAAAAAATGAGAAAACCGCTCGCCACGTTAGATATCCCATTCTGCCACATAGGATTTTGGTTGCAACCGATTTCCAAACCACATGTTTGTTCGTTTTGTGATTTAAAGAAATGAGGGTGCCGCGTAGGATGCCACGTCAGATTTTTGAGAAAAATATTTTCACATCAAAAATATTTGAAAATACTTGGCTCATGAATTTTTAATTACTAAAAGCACTGTTGAAAACAGTTACTGTGAATAAAACAGATTATGTAATTGCTAAAAACACTATTACTATTGCAGCTAATTTCCATTTCTTTTTTTTATGTTTAAACAAACACAATAAATGAAAATCGAAACACTGTTACTATTGTGGCTGGATTTGTTACTTATGTGAAGCGGCGGTGACGTGACGGTGATTTCATTGCGAAAAAAAGAAATGCGGGGAATGTCTTAAATTAGTTGAAATGTGAGTTTTCCATTACCGCTTTTTTTTGTGGAAAACAAACAAACAACCCCTAAACTTATCGTGACTATTTTTTAAAATAGATCTTTTAACCATCAATATCTGTGGGATTTTTTTGTTATCATGATCTTCTTTTAATTATGTGCTAATTAAAGAGTGTTCGCCTATCCCAGTTTTTATCTTTTAATCTAAGCCTACAGCTTCGGTACTCCATGATAATTTGTTGGGGGCACCGGTGGCATATCTGTAAATAAATTTCTTAAAAATAGCTCTCACATTTTTAGATAGATAGATTTGACGGTTAGGAGGTGTTCCACACCCAAAATTGTAATTATCTATAATTTGAATTAGGTAAAAATGTTATTTTAGAAAATACAATTTAGGAGAGAAACAAAATTTATGATTAGGCATCAATGTAAATAATTCTGATCATTTCGCTCTCACAATCAATCTAATGTCGAACTGAAAAATATTACTCTTTCTACTGCCACTTTTGTAAATATCTTGAAAATTGATGCCTAACATTTAAGCCTAAAAAAATCATGGCCAGTAAGAATACACTTTTGTAAATATCTTGAAAATTGATGCCTAACATTTAAGCCTAAAAAAATCATGGCCAGTAAGAATAGTACCCCCTTTTCTCTTTAATTCCTAACATTTAAGCCTAAAAAAATCATGGCCAGTAAGAATAGTACCCCCTTTTCTCTTTAATTCCTCCTTACTAACATTGTCAATTTAGCTAACCTTTAATTACTTGTTATTTTCACCACTATGTCAATAGTCTAATAATCTGCTTTTTCTGTTTTTAAATCATCTTCGCCTTTAAATCAAAGATATAATCACTTTCTTTTCTTTTTAATTTTTCCTTCATAAAATCAGTTGATTTTTTGAGAGTACGTGGATCTTCCTACTCATTGGTTAATTGGGAAGGCTGATTGATTTTGATATGAATTTTTGTTATTTTTGATTCCGTTCATTCTAAGTTCTTCCTCTATGAAATCACTGCTTCGTGTGACTTGACTATTGTTTAGCCATCAATCCTCTATGAAATCACTGCTTCGTGTGACTTGACTATTGTTTAGCCATCAATCTAAGTAGCGAAATCATTGCTTGATTGAAATAAAAGTGACTTGACTATTGTTTAGCCATCAATCTAAGTAGCGAAATCATTGCTTGATTGAAATAAAAAAAAGTAAAAAATTAGAAGAGGAGGAATTATTTGTATGGATTTGATTTGGGAAGGAAAGGGGATGCAGATGAAATGAGTGGATTGGTTTTGCGGGAAATGAGTTTTGTTAGGTATGATGATTCCAAAGTGTTACAAATACCTTTTTACCCTTTTAAATAAAAAATTAAATACAAATATTATAGGAACACCGAAGCAAAACTCTTATTCTAATTTCAAATGTTTGAGATGAAGCCATGCAGTACTCTAAATATTATTTTAAAACCGCTATTGTCGTTAAAACCACTGTTGTGAAAAACAGTATTTGCGATGGTGGAAATCCTATGTGGCTTCATCTCAAGCGTTGGAATTAAAATAGAGGAATATGATTGAGATAATTAAACACTCTTCGACTACCCCCTAATTGGAGATGATCTATTTTAAAATAGAATGTAGTATGTTCAAAATAGAATTCAGGTGGAGTAAAAGTAAAATTAACAATATCGGGGCCATTTTTTGGGTGGTGCTTCTGTGTTGGGTGAAATTTTTTATATGTTTGTTAAAAATTGCTTCCACTTTTAAGAGGTCATTTTATAAAGATGCTTTTAAAAGTATCTTTTGTTTTTTATTTTATATACCATTTCTTTCACGCTTAACTGCTTTTAGAAGCAGTTTTAGATATATGATTACTAAATGATAATTTTCACCAACTTATATAAATTTCTTCTATAACCTACTTATATAAGCAACTTATTATAAACTAAAAAGATCTTAAATTAGAATGTGAGTGTTGTATACGTATAGTCGGATGAAAATTTTCACGTTTGCATAATAAAAATTACTAATGTGTCAATTTTAAACTTTGGATATTAAGTGCTATGAAACACAATTGAGGTTAATAAGCGGTGAAACTACTAGATAGTTAAGTCAATTGAGCCCATGACGACAGTATGTGGGCTAACTAGCGTGCGGCCCATTTATAACAGTCCACCCCAGTGCAATTATTGTGCTTTAGTCTAAGCCTTAAAGGCCCAGTAAAACGAAATTCAAAGACGCCGACGTCCAGTTTCTAAAGCTCACGTCTCATCAATCCCAACCGTCAAATCTCTGTGACACCCCCAAATCGGACGGTCAAAAACCGCAGGCACAGAACACAACAGTCAATCGTTAAAGCAGCCAACCATCCTCCTCCACGTGTCCCCTCGTTTTCACTGAGCGGCAACTATACCTAAAGTTTAACTGCAACCATCCCCAAATTCGAAAAATTTCAAATTCCATCACTCTCTCTCTCTCTCTCTCTCCCCGATCTCGATCTAAATCAAAACCTCTCGCTCATGAGAGTTTAATTTTTGTTTCCCCCCCAAAAAAATCCCCAATAAATGTTTCAGTTTACGAAGTCGGCTACTAATTTCTCCCCTTTATCTGAAGGAACTGCTCGAAATTAGGGTTTTGGAGATGGATCTCGAATCGATGAAGAGGAAGGAGCTCCAAGCCCTTTGCAAGGAGCATGGGATTCCTGCAAATACCACGAATTCTCAAATGATTGAGAGTCTCTCTTCGATTTTACTGGTAACAGCGCATGTATCACAATCTCATTTTTGTTTTTTTTTACAATCCATTTTAGAGAATTTTTTTGTGGGTATTGTTCTTCTAAGTGTAAATTTGAATAATTTGGGGAAAAAATTTAGGTGAAGGGCAAGCTTAAAGGTTGCTTGAAGGGCTCTGGAGGGAGCAGTGGTGAGGAATTAGGGTTTGTTCGAGGACGGGCGAAGAAAGTTACTTTTGTGCATCAAGATGAGGAGAAGGATGAGGACGAGGAGTTTGTTGTGAAGGCAGTTGGGAAATCTAAGAGGAAGTCAATTGGGAGGAGGTCTAGTGTTGCGCCTGAACCCGCCAAAAGTGGGGGAGAGATTAAGGAAGATAGCAGTTTTGAGAGTTCACGGAATGTTGTTGAAGTGCCGCGGAGAAGTACGAGGTCTCGTGGGTTGGCTGAGGCTGTGGTGTGGTCCCCTGTTATTGAGAAGAAGCAGAAGAAGAAAGCAGCTGATGGCGCAGAAGGTGTTCGAGAAAATTCCAAGGTGGTTTCTGGAAAAGAAAAGAATAAAGTTTCTGGTGGGGTTCCTTCGATCAGATCGTTGAGGAATAGGGTTGTTGTGGCTGGAAGAGATGAAGAGGTGGTGACTGGTCAGAAGCCGGGTAAGACCCAAAAGAGGAAATTTAGCGATAAGGGAGAAAATGAGAACACAGCTGCTTCAATGGTGGAAGATGAGTCAGCAGGGAGGAAGAATCTTCGTAAAAGGACTCGAGATGAAGACACTGTTGAAGATGAGCCTCCTCGTAGAAGGTCTACTCGTAGCCATGCAACTTTGGAGGAAACAGTAGCTATTGAGGACGTTGATGTTGGCGGGGCCAATAAGCGGAAAAAGGCAGTAGAAAAGGAGATTGAAGACACAAACCTAGGAGGAAACATAAGCGATGCAGCTGTGGTTAAAAAGGCACAGAGCCGAGGAAGGCCTCGTGCTTCCAAGCAAGGAGACTCTGAAGGCGTGAAATTTGATGGTGAAGCTGTAGCTGGGCCGACAAGGAGATCAACACGCAGTGCTTCATCTGTATCAGCTGTTGGGAAATCCGATAAAAAAGGTGATGCAGTTGTGAAGGGCAAATCTCAGAAGCAATCGGAAGACCGTGTTCTGAAAGGAGGAGATTCAGCAAGCATATTGCCGGTGAGTGAAGCTCAACCTGAGCCTGTAAGGAGATCAACACGTAGTTCTTCGGCTGTGTTGGAAGATGAGTCTTCTCTACCTGCTGCTGGGAAGTCGGCGAGAGGAGGTAAGGCAGTCAAGAAAGGCGAAATGAAGAAGCAAGCAAATGACCATGGCTTGGAGGGAGGAGGCTCAGAAATCTCATTCCCGGATGCTGAAGTTGTAGCAGCACTTACAAGGAGATCAACCCGCAATTCTTCGTCTTTGTTGGAAAATAAAACTTCTTTACCAGTTGGCAGACACTCAGTAGAAGAAGATGAAGCTATCAGGAAGGGCAAATCACAGAAGCAAGGTGGGGCTCGTGCTTCTAAAGGAGTCCCAACAGCCGGATTATCGGTTAATGAAACCATAACTGAATCTGCAAGGAGATTGACACGCAGTTCTTCAAGGTCGTCGGGAAATGAAGCTCTCTTCCCCGCAGTTGGAAAATTAGCCAGTGTTGACGAAGTGATTCCAAATGACACACCTGGGAAAAAACAAGGAGAGAGTGATCCAAAACCAGAAGATCCAACATCAGTTCACAGTGCAAGGAGATCAACTCGCAGTTCCTCAAAATTGTCGGAAGATACGATTCTTTCACCGATAGCAAGTGTCCATGCTTCTAAACGGAGAGATTGGGCAGTCTCATCGCCAAATAGTGAATTTGCCATTACTCCAACGAGGAGATCGACACACAGTTCTTCGAAGTTGTTTGAGGGTGAGATGCCAAATAATGTAGCTGTCCGAACGCCAATGAGATCAAAACACAGTCTATCAAAGTCATTGGAATATGATACTTTACGAAAAGTCAAAGCATCAGACAATGACAATGAAATCAAGAATAACAAATCAGTGAGGCTATCTAATAATAGTGAGTCAAACCTTGGAGATTCAACACCTCCAGTGCCTGAGGAGGAGGAATCTGTGAGTACATCTGCAAGGAGATCGACACACAGTTCCTCGAAGTCTTTGGGGGATGGAATTTCACTACAAGTTGAAAGTTTGGGCATATACAATGAAGCTGTCAGTGAGGATAAATCAGGAAGGAAACCAAAGAATCATGCTTCAAAACAGAGAGGTTCAACAGCATCAGTATTGTGTAGCCCAGTTGTACCTGAATCTCTAAGGAGATCAACACGGAGTTCTTTGAATCATGATTCTTTGAAAGTTGAAACATCTCTGTCACTGACTTCAAAACTAGACAATGATGATGATTCTATCGAGAAAAGCAACCCTCGAGTGGAGTCGGAGACAGTGAAGAGGAAGAAAACTCGGAAGGATCAAATAGAGGATGATTTGAAAGGACAAGGATCAGCTGCCACTGGTTTTGGTTTCAAGGCAGCTGCTCAAACAGAAGCTCTTGGAGTATTTGAACAATGTGAAGAGGTTTCAAGGAGATTGTCACGAAGTGCTTCTAATTTGGACAAATCACGTGTTTCTGTTTTGTTTACTCCATCCAGTGAGATTATTGAAACAAAACAGAAAAAGAAGAGCATGAGGATAACAGCTTCTAAAGAAGATATGCTGGTTGTGGAAAGTGAGACTGTCGGAGGATCTGTCAGTAGAGATGCTCTGCAAGCAAGCTCCACAAGTTCACTAAGAAAGAGTTCAATGAAGGTTTCTGCTGATGATGACGTAGTGCAGGGGCATTGCTCCTTAGCTCCAGCTTCAGGTTTGTTGGAAGATGAACGAAATGTTCCTGAAGTTGCACAATCTCCTGTGAATTCTCAGTTACAGAAAGTTGAAAATGACGTCTCATTGGGGCCTAAGGATCTAGATGATGTGTGTTTTGACTCCCATTTCAAAGAAAAACAATCTTCTTTTCTGGAGATGACAAATGAGGGTGGTGATGCATTGTTCTCAGGTTTTATCAATGATTCTTCAAAGCTGCTGGAGAGTGTTTCACGAAAAGTAGCATCTTCAAATGTTGATTTACCTGTGGAGGCTGAAGGTACAGAGGAGTCACATGGGTATGACAAAGATAAGGATTTGGCTCCTGCTGAGTTTGTTTCTTCCACTATGGAAGTTAGTAGAAGCATGGGAACTTCTGTTGGTGCACTTGATGACGTGGACAACATAGTAGGTATGGAATCGCAAAACACCACGGGTCCAGCAATACCTCTAAAAAGCTCTGATAAACCAAAAGCATTTCATACCAAAACTTCTGCTGTGTTTCAATGTAAAGAGCCAAATGCACAAGTGGAAGTCGATATTGACCATGAAGATGTCTTAAGAAGCAAAGAAGCAACACAGATCTCAAGTCCTCAGTTGCCATTCAAAAGTTCTGAAGAACTATTATTGACATCTGATGCTGAAACTTCTGCTGAAGTTGATCATGAAATGCCTAAATTGAAAGCAGAAATTCATGATTCTACTGGGGAAGACTTGGAAGGTAATGAAACAACAGATATTGGTGAAACAACTATTGTTGACAAAAGCTCTGAAGGACTTTCACCTATATCTGATGCTGCTCTGTATGCTGAAGAACCTGATTCGAAAGTTGATGTTCCCAGTGAGGATGTCATGGTAGGCGGTGAAGCAACCAAGATGATTGATCGGATAATAACTAACACTGAAAATAGTCCGAGAGCACTTTGTGATCTTAACATTGAAGGGCCTGATTCAGAAGTGGAAGATCATGTTATGGCCAAGGGTGGCATGGTGAACTCCGAAGACATGAACACTGCTGGTTCACCTTTTTCTTGCAAGTCAACTGGAGTACTATCACCAAGCTTATTGCCAACCTTATTCAATGAAGTATGTCCCAGCATTAATGTTGGGGAACCTTGTCTGAAAGTGGATAGTTGTGATATGAGCAAAGTGACTTCCCATTCTAATGCTCTTATTGGTGAAGCAAGTGACTTGCACAGTAAGTCAGATGATCTTTATATTCTTTTATGATTTTCATGTTTCCTTACATATTCCGAATTAACTCTTATGTATTTTAATAATTCTTTGCAGGTGAAACTTTGGAGGTTGTTGGGAAGATTAAAGCTCTTGGAGAGGATACTGATTCTTATTCATGCAAAGCAAGTCTAGAAGTAATTAAGGAAACCTGGGTATCGTCCACTTCAACAGATACAGTAAATGATGATGGTGGCCAAAATGATCGTGACAACAATGAAGATGAGCTGAAACCATCTTTACCAAGTGAAAGTCCTGCATTGGATCTGTGCTCAGGTCAGCATCTGAGGGGAGACAGAAGTATGTCATCACCGGAAGAGGTTGAGAATGGCTCAACAACTCTTCGGTCCCATGGTAGGGCAAACCATTCTGATTTTAATTACTTCACATGTACATGTGTTAACGTTGACTTCAGATTCTGACATCTTTTTGACTTGTTGCTTTTTGTTAATGCTAATAGATAAGGAGGATTTAAGACATCTTACGGACCAGCAGGGAGTTGGAGTAGATACAACAGAACATGTTCATGTAGATGCTGTTGACAGGAGTCTGAAATCAACTGCTAAAGTACATGACGATGCAAAACCACTAGATGTGGTTGCTGATGTTCTAGCAGAAGTGGCTGATACTACAAAGAAACTTACTGCTGTCAATATCGAAAGAAGCCTTGAACTAGGTGCAGTAGTTGAAGAAGAAATGGAGACAATTGAGTCCTTGGAAAGTGAGGCCAATATTGAAGAAGCCGGGAATAATGCTATCGAGAATATAGATGGCATTGGACAAGGTAAATCTGATCATTTTGATGAAGGTGGTCAGGAGTTCCATGCTCACGACATTGGTTCTCACCTATCAGTAGAAAAATCTGGTATTTAATGTGCATAGATTGTTTCTGTTATATTCGGGATTTTTTTTGCGTTATTATCTGGAGCTTATGGTGTGTACTTGCATTGGCAGCCTCCATTGCAGGAGGGGAGAACGTCTTGTCACTTGAGAATTTTGAAACAACATATGCTGAAAATGGTAAGTGGCTTGTTTGTGACCTTGCTCTTTCTTCAAGTAATAGTTTTATGTTGCCATTATTGCTTCCTCTGTTTGAAAATCTAGGATACTTATGTCCCTTTTAATTTCAATACTATAGTTTATTTATTTACCTGCATTTTAAAGTAAGTTCTGTTTTTCAGCGGTTCCAGTTTTGTCAAAGATGGATGTTGTATTCTCTGGTAAACCACAATTAGAAGAAGATAATATGGAAAAAGCTTCTGCAGAAAAGGAGAATCCGAGTAGTGAAGAACTTCCCTCTTCTGTTAGTTTCATTTGAAATTTTTTGCCAAACTTTCTGTGCACAGTTTTTTCAAATGATTTTCTAAAGGAGTGTTGAATAGGATTCCCTTGCGATAAATATATACTTGGACTATCTTGTGAAAATTTTGTATTTTCATATCAGAAGCTAAAAATTAAGTCACTGGACCTCGAGAAATCTCGATCATGGCCGATTAACAATATCCAGTCTTTGTTTTTTAAATGATGAATCATGCTAGAAAGAAACCAAATTCAGTTCTAAATGCATGATAACGGGTATGTTAGTTTTGGGTTCTTATACTAGCCTTTTGAAATTATTACTTTTGCAGAGTCAGATGGTGAGAAGGAAGCTGAAGTGAAAACAGAATTGAGTTTGTCCTGCAATGCCCTTGAAGATTCATTTTCTGGATTAGGAGAACCTAGGGAGGAAGAAAGAGTACATGGTTCTTCGATTGAGCCTGAAATCAACCTGGAAGCAGCTATGAATGTGGAAAAACAGACAGCATCCTCAACCCGGGAGGGAGTGTCTCTAGTACTCGCAGATGCTTTTGAATGTGAAGGTAAGATAAATCAAACAGAGTGCTCGTGGCTTGTAGAAGCTGCACTTTGCAAAACAGGCTAAAGTATATATTTTTTTCATATGCAAAATTTGAAGTTCTAAATTTTATATTTTGCTTGTTGGCAGATAATACCCTGAATGTAGTTCATACCATTGCAATTTCTGAACCTGGAAGTGAGGATGCTGATGATCCCAACAGCGACAATCGTGTAGAGCTTAGAGAGAATTCAGATGACAACACAATAATTGCTAGTTCTAGAAAACAAGGTGTGGATCAAGGTCTTAACTTGTCTGTCTGTGGGATGACCCTAGCTTCCGGAACCACAGGGATTTTCGAAAACAATGAATGTTCACCTGCCGCAAATCGATCAGTAGTTGGCTCAGAAGATCTTAGCAAGTCAAGCAGTAGAGAAAGTTTGGCAAGAATAGGCAATGATTCAAGCATCAAAGCCCACACGCAAGATGAAAAATCAGATAAGTACCAAGGTGTGTATTTACATATCAGTTCTTTTCTGTGTCTAAACTCAGTAATCTGTGAGTGAGGTAGGTTACTTTCTCTGGTTTGGAGTTCACTCTTGCAAGTCTGTAAATTCATTACCATTGAACAAGTGAATGATCTTATATACTTGCAGATATACCTGAAAGCTTTGAACAGGCTTCTAATGTTGAAGAAGCGTGGGTGGCACGTGGTGCACATTCAATGTTTGTAGATGACTTGTTTGGTATGGACAGCAACGGTAGTGCTCAAGTGAGTCAATGGGGACATCATGAAGATAACTTATCTCACCATAGTGGACGTTTTTCAGAATTAAGTATTGCTGAGGCACTAGAAATGGGAGACGGTAAAATGAAGGCTGTAGCTGTATCAGGAAATTCTGACGCAGAAAAGGAAGAGGCTTATGAATGTGAAATGTCTCCTGAAGCTGAAAACTTCTTGAGCGGCTCTAACAAACCTTGTGCAGAAATGGACTCTGAAGGTGACTTTAAGTTTCTTTTGTACAGTTTTTCTTTATGCTTCTCGTGTTTTTGATATTTCAAAGCTGATTGTTACCTATAAACTATACTTCAGATTCTGGTCTAGTTCCTGAAAAATAGCTTGGGCAAGAAACTAACATCATTTTTGAAGATTTAGCAATAGCATTCTCATAAAAACTCATAAACCATAAAGTGAGTTGTCCTAATTAACACAAAATTTGACAAATTTATGTGAACAGGAGCCAACTCCCTGAGTAGCCAATATAGTTCTTTAATTTGACGTTGTTAATCGTTATTTGTTAACTATTTGTCATGATACTTGGTTCTTAATTTATTCATGAAGGCTGAAAATGTACTCTTCAATATTTTGTTATTTGTTTTGCTTGTTTCACATATTCAGTTCAGTCAAAAATGTTCATACAGCTGTGTGAATATTAGGATGTAAACAAATATAAACGAACTGATCCTTAACACTGTCTAATACTGCCATCAATTTCCATGTTGAAATGCGAGTGTAAGCTATTCAGAGAACATCTGAAGAATTAAAATTTGAATGGTCAGATACATCCTTAATGCCTAATTGCCTATATAATGTGTCTTAAAGTATCCAATAATACATCTTGCAACAGCTTGATTAAGTCCAAGAAAATGGATCTGGTGTAAAAAAAATTCCATTGCTTTAATGTTAACAAGTGACCTAAATTAATGCTCCTACCCAATTTTCACTTCAGTTTCCACGTCATTTATATTGAGTTTCCATACTGCCCAATTTTTGATGACCCGATTTCCTGAATTTTCGCTCTGTTCCAATCTTGCTTTTGCTTTCATTACTATGGATATTTAGTTATATATTAAAGCAATAGGCATAGCCATATTGTATCCTCCAAAAGAAAACAAGTTTATCTTTTT